GAGAGAGAGAGAGAGAGAGAGAGAGAGAGAGAGAGAGAGAGAGAGAGAGTTTCTTTAATAACTGATGCAGGAAAACTGGAGATAGATACAAATAAATAGAGACATAAGATACAGACAATATGGATTGATGCCTAAGAATAAAATTTGACTTTGCCTCACATCACTTACAAAGACCAACTCCACACAGATCAAGCATCAGTCTGAAACTACAAAATGACTACCAGAAAGCATGGTAGAAAAAACACAGTCCCTAGTCTAAGCCGCAATGCTTTAAATTTTGCTCAAAATATCAGGAAACAGAAGCAAAAATAGACAGGGGGATTACAAGAAACGCACGGGCTTCTGTACGGTCAAGGCAACCACCGGAAGCCTGAGGTAGCAAGCTACAGACCGGCAGAAGGTGTTTGCATTCAGACTACAAAAGAAAAAGAAACTCTATAGAAAGAAAAGAGTGAATGGGGGTTTTAGCTGGAAAGGGGTCTCAACAGACAAATGCCCCCAAATCAGCAGAGAAATGCAACTCAAACCACACTGGCACCTGTTAAAATGGCTAATGTCAAAAATAAGACAGATATCAACTTGAAAGGAAGGGGTGGGTAGGCAAATACCTCATACTGCAGCTGGGAACCTAAGTTAGGATGGCCGTAACAGAAAACAGGCATATAGAAGTTGGGAGGGACAAAAAAATAACTAAGACTAAAAATCAAGTTACTGAATTTATCCACCGACTTAGAATCTGTCCTCTCCACCGAGAGGCTGGCTTTTAGAAAACTGCTAAAAGCAAATTTGACATCCCCACCCCACAGCTGTACCTGCAATAACACAAGGTGGGCACTTATGGTGGGAAAAGGGATGTAGCTAAACACCCAGCGACGTCTCCCCAGAAGATGCCTGAAAAGGGGCGCCCCAAAGCTAGCAAAACGTCAGGAGAGAGCAGCCGTGGAGTTGAGAGAAACTGGCAGGGAGGGCTTAAGGAGGGAATGGACAATGGTATGAAGTCAGCTGCCATGCCACCCTCAAATGGCAAAAGAGGACGCTGGTTTAAACAAACAAACAAACAAACAAAACACATAGTCATGAAGGATTTGAAGGTGACCATAGCCATATAGCGATAGGCTGAGCATTCAGGTCAAATTCTGGTAAGACGAGCAGAAATGAAATGGAGAAGGCTAGAGTTACCCTGTTAAAATCTGTAGACGTAAAAAGGAGGTGAGGTGGGGAGATGTTTAAGATGGTGCCATGGGCCGGCGTGGAGTCCTCATCACAGAGGCTGGAGGACTTTCAGAGAGGAAACAACAATTGTCAACTCCGGCCCCACCTAATGCTAAAATGGTCTCTGTGGAAGCACCATCTCCCCTGCTGACCAATTCCCTAAGCAACCACTGAGGTGTGGCAGAACAGAAGCCGAGGATTTCCAGAAGGTACACGTCCACCCACACACCACGCCAGACACCTGAATGGATCCATTGAAAACTAGACCAGAACAAAGAAAAAAGCCTCCCTTTTGCTCCGGGTTTCATTCTCATGGGTCTTGATTCCAAAGCCCATGCGGTTGTTGTTGTTTACATTGGGAAGGGTGGAAATCAGTAGACTCAGGCTGGTGGGATGACTCAATGGGTAAATGAGCTTTCTGGCAAAGATAAGGACCTGAGTTTGACCCCCGGATCCCAAGTAAAGATGGCAAGAGAGAGAGAGAGAATTGACTCCACAAAGTGGTCTCAGACCTTCACGTGTGCACCAAGACACATGCACCCCCACACACCCCCTCATACACAGATGCGTACATACAATAATAATAATAGTACAGTGAATTAACAAATATTTTAAACTATTACAAAAAGGAAAACACCAGCAGACTGTAGAATCTGGTCCCATACATATTCTGCAGGTCATGCTTAAAGCAATGAGCAGGCTCGTAGCTCTTCTGACACAGAAGTCTGTCTTCCAAGGCCAGGCTTTGCCACCCTCACCGGTAAGCATGCTCAGCTCTGATGCTCTGACCCCAGTGTGGTCCAGCAGCCCTATGGACTATTGGAATGGGTCTAAGAGAATAATCATCAATTTACAAGGCTGATCTTAGGTCAGGCAGCCACGGGGAAAGCTCTCAGGCAAACTAACTGGCTTCTAGACCATAAAGATTGCAAATTCTCCATTTCATTTGACTCCACATACCTGCTGTGTGTCAGGGTCTCATCCTTCATCAAAGCTTTGGTTTTCACATGATCAAACAGTTGGTGTGGAACGCTTATGCAGACGTTCTACAAACCACAGAATTAAGAGTCTCGTGCTTTGTGGACTGAGCTAGCCTCAAGTCCCTCCAAGCTGCACAATTAAATCTGAAGTCTGGGGGTTGAAGAGATGGTTAGGCAGTTAGGAGCACTTGCTCTTCAAAGAGACCACAGTTCCCAGACCCTGCCACCGGCAGTCACCATCACCTGTAACTCCAGCTCCAGAGCTGATGCCCTCTTCTGGCTTCCTCAGGCACTGCACCCTTGTGCACTAACCCAGACACTCAAAATCCAGGTAATAAGTAAAAATAAAAATATTTTTTTTATTAAATCTGGAGTCTGATTTTTAACAATTGTGGTCCTCATGATCCTATGATCCCTACTCCTGCTGGGAGATCCCAGTCCTGAGTGTGCCAGGGTTTTCTGGGGGCCGCATTAAATTTAAACAGTGTCTTACCTCATAGTCTCTATGGCCAGCTTTTCTACCAAAACCATTGAGGTGGCCAGATTCGGTTTGGACTCAAAGCATTTGCTTCTGTAATTCAATCTCAAGCCACCAAGGTCACAATTGAATTAATTATAATGTCAATGAACTGCCCACTTACCACTCTTCCATTGGCAGGAAGTTCAACACCATCTTCAAAACCAAGAGCAACACAAACCCAGCCTCCACCTCCACAGCTTTGTAGGTTAACACAGAGCCATAGTGGAAGTGACTAAAGGCCTGTGGGACTAGGCTACCTCGAAGACTAGATCAGTTTTCTGTATCCCAAAGGCATATCTAGATCCTGGGGTCTTTGCAGATAATGCCCAGTGCCCTCATGGTACCCTTGTCAACAGTAACATCCAAAGCCACTGTGAGTGCCTTTTAGAGGGAGCATTCTTAGCAACAATGGATAACTTTGTATGGCCATCTCTTGAGTCACACTATACATTGAATTTCCCACACTCTATCGCAAGTCAACTCTATTATGAGTCACTTTCCCTGTTGGAATGTAAGTGAGCACTTCAGTTTCTATGTGAACACATGTTCATTACCTTTTGTTTCCATAAACCTCCACTGAGCGCATGCTTTGTGCCTCAGGGTCTCTGTCCCTACCCATAGCAACCTCACAGTCTATGTAAGAGGGACACTGATAAGGAGAGATCTTTTTGAGGGGGTAAAGGGGTTCGAAACGGGGTTTCTCTGTGTAGCCCAGGCTGTCCTAGAACTTTCTCTGTAGACCAGGCTGGCCTTGAACTCAGAGATCTGCCTGCCTGTACCTCCCAAGTGCTAGGACTAAAGATGTATGCCACCACACCTGGCTGGAGGAGAGATCTTGAAAGCAGACTTAGACTAGTGTGAGTTCTTCCTCTCCAGACATGTCCTCAAGGCCTGTGACTCACAGGCTTCCCATGTGCTCTCAGGACCTGTTCCAGAAGCTCAAGCCCCACACCAGCCAAGGGGCTGACGTTTTGCTTGGATACACTTTCACATCTCTCTCTGGCTCAATGCACACCCCTCTGCCCCCACTACGGAAAACCCAATAAAACTTGATGAGATTCCCACTGTACCCAGTGTTCTGGATGCCTGGCTCTACCACCTACTACTTCCCAAGAAGCATGCGACTTCTGCTGCTGGCCCTGCCTGCCCTTGCTCTTCTACCCCAAGTGATCCCAGGTAACAGAACCCAGGGAAGCGACCAAAGTGAAGGTCTAATGGGCCCCGCCCGACCTGTGGGGTCCAGCGTATGGCTGTTCTCCCTAACACAGCCAGCACCACATTTTCCTCACTGACACTGTCTCTGGCAAGGGTGGGATGAAGTTAGGTCAGGCCATCCTCAGGGCAGCCTACACAGCCAGTTCCCCCAGAGCATGTTTCCATCAAAGGAGGAAGGTTAGACCTTCATCCACGTCCTTCTCTTTCTGGCCTGTGCAACTCTAGAAAACGCCTCCCAACGTCCACAGCCCTATGGCATCCTGGCCTTTTAAAAGTCTTGCTATCACTTTTGAGAAGATCCTTTGTCTTCTCATGGTCTGGAATTTGGTGAACAAAATGTCTGCCCAGTTGTCACATGGATGACAGAGCCGGCTTCCTTCTTCCCTGTGCCCTGAAAGTCCAGAGAGTGATCACTACTGCTTTTAAAAGATTACCCAAAGGCATGGCCGGAACCCTGATCCTATTGCTCCAGAAAACCCACATCCTCTACTCTTGCACAGATCTCTCAAGGCACATTTCAGAACATAGTAAACTCATGAAAGTGACCCACATAAAAAACTAAATATACTGTCCCCATGATTACACAATATTCTTGTTTCATTTAATATTTTGTGGCCACCTAGAGTTCTGCCTCATTGTTTACAAATTTAAAAAATTCTATTGTAATAAAAACTATGGTGGGGCATAGTGGTCCACACCTTCACTGCCAGCACGTGGGAGGCAGAGGCAGAGGCAGAGGCAGAGGCAGAGGCAGAGGCAGAGGCAGAGGCAGAGGCAGAGGCAGAGGCAGAGGCAGAGGCAGGTGGCAGA